AACATTTGAAAGCAATTCTCTTGACTGGACGCATCAGTTCCAAACCAAACATTGATGATGTCTTGAAAACCAAACCTCAGTTTCACAAATTAAATCTCACTAATCTTTTTGCTGATATGTGCGCACTAGGTCTGATGTAACTTTCTTTTTTCTAACGTCGCCTTCTTTGCTAACTTCTTAAGTCAATAAAACTGCTGGTCGTCTTTGGTATGTTGTCCATTGCTCGCCACTCGCCCATGATAAACATGGAATACTAGACTTAGTTTTGCATCTTTTTTCCCCCCCAGAGCTTTCGTTCTGGCCTGCAAGTGTTGGACGGGATGATTATCTTGCCCGCGTCCGTCATTTTGTCCGTTATCCGGCCCGCGATAAAAATAAAAGTTTGGTGACGCCTGGTCTAAGAGATGCCAGTTAGAACATGGGAGAGTTGTTCGAATGGATTGTATTTTCTAACTGGACATCATTAGAAACTTACTTAATATTTTTTTTAATAAATAATGATTTTTTTTTTAAAATAAATAAATACATTGTACAGTAGGATCGTTATTTTAAAAAATGTTTGAATTAAGTAGAAAAAAACAAGTACTAAGATTAGTTTCCAATAAAATTACAAGTACTAAGATAAGTTTCCAATAAAAGTACAAGTACTAAGATTAGTTTCCAATAAAAGTACAAGTACTAAGATTAGTTTCCAATAAAAGTACAAGTACTAAGATTAGTTTCCAATAAAAGTACAAGTACTAAGATTAGTTTCCAATAAAAGTACAAGTACTAAGATTATATCCAATAAAAGTAAAAGCACTAAGATTAGTTTCCAATAAAAGTACAAGTACTAAGATTAGATCCAATAAAAGTACAAGCACTAAGATTAGATTCCAATAAAAGTACAAGCACTAAGATTAGATTCCAATAAACGCTTCCAATAAGCTTTGCTTCTGTCTGGCCGTTTCTATTTATAGACTATGGGACCATCTCAGGCCACGGGGCAACACTGCATTCCAACAAAAAACTGACTTTAAGGTAATCAGTGGTGTCAACCCAATGGTTCGGCTTTATGTGACTTTAAGGTAATCAGTGGTGTCAACCCAATGGTTCGGCTTTATGTGACTTTAAGGTAATCAGTGGTGTCAACCCAATGGTTCGGCTTTATGTGACTTTAAGGTAATCAGTGGTGTCAACCCAATGGTTCGGCTTTATGTGACTTTAAGGTAATCAGTGGTGTCAACCCAATGGTTCGGCTTTATGTGACTTTAAGGTAATCAGTGGTGTCAACCCACTGGTATGGCTTTATGTGACTTTAAGGTAATCAGTGGTGTCAACCCAATGGTATGGCTTTATGTGACTTTAAGGTAATCAGTGGTGTCAACCCGATGGTTCGGCCTTATATGATGGATAGGCCTTATATGATGCATGATGGGTAGATCTTATATAATGGATAGGCCTTATAAGATGGGTTGGCTTTATATGATGATCAGGCCTTACATGATGGTTAGACCTTATGTGATGGTAAGGTCCCATATGATGGATAGGCTTTATATGATGATCAGGCCTGGCATGATGGTTAGACCTTATGTGATGGTAACGTCCCATATGATGGATAGGCCTTATATGATGACCAGGCCTGGCATGATGGTTAGACCTTATATGATGGGTATATATTATATGATGTATAGGCAGGAGTATCACAGTGGTTGACTGGATAATCACAGTACTTGACATGATAATCCCAGTACTTGACAGGATAATCAAAGTACTTGACAGGATTATCACAGTGGTTGACAGGATGATCAAAGTGATTGACAGGATTACCACAGTGGTTGACAGGATAATCACAGTGGTTGACAGGATTATCACACAGTGATTGACAGGATTATCACAGTGGTTGACAGAATTATCACAGTGGTTGACAGAATAATCACAGTGGTTGACAGGATTATCACACAGTGATTGACAGGATTATCACAGTGGTTGACAGAATAATCGCAGTGGTTGACAGGATTATCAAAGTGGTTGACAGGATTATCACAGTGGTTGACAGGACTACCCCCAGAGTCACAGTGGCTGAATAAAATATGTGAGAGTCCCTGTACGGAAATTCACCCACCTAAAAATAGGCTGCAGCTACACTTCCATCCCGACAACGCTGTACCATCCTTAATCTCCCCATCTTCACGTCATCAGCACCTCATCACGACCCCTTAACTCAGTACTCTACATGTCACCTCCATCACTCCCACCCCCGCCACCCATAACCCACACCCCCCACACACACAACACTATCTCCACAACAGCATTTACACCACACACATACACACACACAGACACAGGCACACAATCCTGTCCTTATCAACCACGCCGGAGCCTACCATCAGAACTATTGTTAACACTTATTCTTGAAGTGCCATCTAGTTCCACCCCACGAGGACACTCCAGACGTCTAACGTGCGATAAACACAAGCATAAGGATAGTAGGATAGTAGGATAGTAAGATAGTCGTGTTGAGTCAGATACACCCGACGAAGAAATGAATGCAATGTCCACGGTGGTGACACGCGTGTCCGGCTTACATCAGAGGAGGTTACAAACACACATTACGGCATGTGTTGAAACATCATCTTCATCTCCCGGTGTATTAGGTAGGGAGGGAATGTTCCTGGTGTCTACTCTGCCAATCTCCTCTACATGTTCAACAGGTCTCCTCTACATGTTCAACAGTTCTCCTCTACATGTTCAACAGTTCTCCTCTACATGTTCAACAGTTCTCCTCTACATGTTCAACAGGTCTCCTCTACATGTTCAACAGGTCTCCTCTACATGTTCAACAGGTCTCCTCTACATGTTCAACAGGTCTCCTCTACATGTTCAACAGGTCTCCCCTACATGTTCAACAGGTCTCCCCTACATGTTCAACAGGTCTCCTCTACATGTTCAACAGGTCTCCTCTACATGTTCAACAGGTCTCCTCTACATGTTCAACAAGTCTCCTCTACATGTTCAACAGGTCTCCTCTACATGTTCAACAGGTCTCCTCTACATGTTCAACAGGTCTCCTCTACATGTTCAACATGTCTCCCCTACATGTTCAACAGGTCTCCCCTACATGTTCAACATGTCTCCTCTACATGTTCAGCAGGTCTCCTCTACATGTTCAACAGGTCTCCTCTACATGTTCAACAGTTCTACTCTACATGTTCAACAGTTCTCCTCTACATGTTCAACAGTTCTCCTCTACATGTTCAACAGTTCTCCTCTACATGTTCAACAGGTCTCCTCTACATGTTCAACAGGTCTCCTCTACATGTTCAGCAGGTCTCCTCTACATGTTCAACAGGTCTCCTCTACATGTTCAACAAGTCTCCTCTACATGTTCAACAGGTCTCCTCTACATGTTCAACAAGTCTCCTCTACATGTTCAACAGGTCTCTGCCCTCGTAAAACAACTACCTTCGTGGGCTCCGTTGACTAGACCTAAAACTGTCTTCACTGCTTTGATATCTACAAGAATTGTTGTCTTTTTTTGGTGGGGGGTGTGTGTTAGGGAAGGGGGTTGATTGAATAGCCCTGACCCCCCCCCCCCCCTTGTTAGGGAAGGGGGTTGATTGAATAGCCCTCACCCCCCCCCCCCTTCCACATACACACAGAAACCAGGAGGAGCCACGCTAATGTGACAATGAACAATTAGCTATGAATCCAGTCAAAACAGGTTGACCACCAGCTGGGGTTGATTGTCCAGTCAAAACGGGTTGATAACCTACTGAGGTTGGTTGTCCAGTCAAAACGGGTTGACCACCAGCTGAGGTTGGTTGTCCAGTCAAAACAGGTTGACCACCAGCTGGGGTTGATTGTCCAGTCAAAATGGGTTGATAACCTACTGAGGTTGGTTGTCCAGTCAAAACGGGTTGACCACCAGCTGAGGTTGGTTGTCCAGTCAAAACGGGTTGACCACCAGCTGAGGTTGGTTGTCCAGTCAAAACAGGTTGACCACCAGCTGAGGTTGGTCATCCAGTCAAAATGAGTTGACCACCAGCTGAGATTGGTTGTCAAGTCAAAACGGGTTGACCACCAGCTGAGGTTGGTTGTCCAGTCAAAACAAATTGACCAGCAGCTGGGGTTGGTTGTCCAGTCAAAACGGGTTGACCACCAGCTGGGGTTGGTTGTCCAGTCAAAACGGGTTGACCACCAGCTGAGGTTGGTTGTCCAGTCAAAACAAATTGACCAGCAGCTGGGGTTGGTTGTCCAGTCAAACGGGTTGACCACCAGCTGGGGTTGGTTGTCCAGTCAAAACGGGTTGACCACCAGCTGAGGTTGGTTGTCCAGTCAAAACAAATTGACCAGCAGCTGGGGTTGGTTGTCCAGTCAAAACGGGTTGACCACCAGCTGGGGTTGGTTGTCCAGTCAAAACGGGTTGGCCATCAGCTGAGTTTGTTTTCCTGCATCCTTACACGTGTGCAATTGTATTCAACTACAACGACGACGAAGCTTATGAGCAAATCAGTAGTGTCACATTACTGTCACAGTTGTGTCACATTATTGTCACATTATTGTCACATTAGTGTCATATTACTGTTACAGTAGTGTCGCATTACTGTCACAGTAGTGTCACATTATTGTCACATTAGTGTACATCATTGTCACATTAGTGTCACATTATTGTCACAGTAGTGTCACATTATTGTCACAGTAGTGTCACATTATTGTCACAGTAGTGTCACATTATTGTCACAGTAGTGTCACCTTATTGTCACAGTAGTGTCACATTATTGTCACAGTAGTGTCACATTATTATCACAGTAGTGTCACATTATATTTTCAAAATACAGTGGTTAGCTTCACACAATAAGATAGTAATGGCATCCTTCTCAGAACTGGTTTGGACAATTTTTGTCAAAAGTGGGTGGAGGGGGGTGGTGTGGTGGGTTGCGAATCCCGTACCCTGGTATCACATGTCCAGAACTTCAAATGATGGCTGTCCTTCCCAGCGCGTCATTTAACTATAATGTCTTTGAACGTTGCATAGGACACTTTTTTCTTTGGCTAGCTGCTGTTGGTTGAGACTCTGGACCTGATCATCGAGGCATTCTGACAACACTCATTGGGTTCAGATCTGTTTCGAGTCATGTTTCTTTTTTTTTTTTGTAACATTCTTCTCCATCCCTAAACACATACAAGGGGCGTCATTCTAGACCTGAGACTGTCATACAGTGTGGACTGTCATACAATGTGGACTGTCATACAGTGTCGACTGTCATAATGTCATAGTGTGGACTGTCAAAGTGTGGACTCTCATACATTTTGGACTGTCATACAGTGTCGACTGTCATAGTGTGGACTGTCATATAATCTCGACTGTCATAATGTCATAGTGTGGACTGTCATAGTGTGGACTCTCAAACAGTGTGGACTGTCATACAGTGTGGACTGTCATACAGTGTTTATTAGACCATGGATGAGTAAGTAATTTTATTATTTGATCACTGTCCATTGTCCAACGCCCATTGATTCCATTTTGTAGAAACACTTTTGTCAAAAACATGTTGAACATTTTAAAAAGTATTTATGTATATTAGCGAAACAAAATACAATAAACCTTTCGTTATAATTCTAATAGTACGATGCAAGTGATTACAGTTTTTTACGGGACTTATGCTACCAAAGGGGTGTTGCTGGTGTTGTTAATGTTGTTGATGTTGTTGATGTTGTTTTTGTTGTTGTTTTCTTAATCATCATCACGTGATGAGAAACTTTCTATGCATAAAATTAAAGACAAAAATATCAATGGGGTACAGGCAGAGGTGTAACTAGAGTTAGAGAAACCTGGGGGCGGGCCGAGAATTTAGCCGCCACCCTTGACTGATTTACGTCGCAACCTCCATACAAAAATAAAAAATGTCGCTCGGAGTGGACCACCACATCCGGCCGCCTTGGAACGCCCCTGGGTACAGACTATAACGTGTTAGATGCAGTGCCCCGAGTGCGTGAAATAATAGGTCTTAGGTCTATGTGGAATATGTGGGTTTCATGTGGTTATCATGTGGGTATCACAACTATACATGTCCTCAGAAGTCTTAAGGTCTATGTGGCGTATCACTAAAGCAGCTTTACAGGTTTATTAGTAAACCAGGCACAGAAACATTGCGAATCCCCTCTACATGCATTGGAGGCAGAATGATCAACAAATTGATCGTGGGCCTTTGATATATAGAAGAGGAAGAAGTCTGTAGACCCCCAGGGAAACAAATGACGGGCGGGTGTTCGTACTGTTATAAAAGTTTTTGGTTTAAGGGTGGGGATGGTTGGGAAGGGTCCATGAATGCTCAGATGGGGGAATTCCTGGGTGACTGGGGCTTGAGGCTGCCAACTGTCCATACATTTACGGACAGTCCGAACAAATTCGACCTGGGATGATGTCCGAAATACAGATTGGACGTCGTAAAAAATAATCTTTTGAATGGGATATCTCATGTCATTTTTTGTTGTAGCTTACTTTACACTTGAAGTCAAAGACAAATAGACGAACAGACAAGTAGACAAATAGACGAATAGACAAGTAGATGAACAGACAAATAGACGAACAGACAAACATTCCTACAAAAGCATTCTAACGGATATTTGATAGTCACAGAAGCGTTGTTGTATGAATGTACAATCGTTTTTTTTCGCTTCACAGGCTTAACAAATTTATAATGAAATATTGTCCGGAAGAAAAAAAATTGGTTTGAATGTGTGTCTATACATTTAAATTTTATTGAGTTGTCAACCCTGGGGGTATTGGGAGAAAAATTATCTTGACCCCCCCCCCCCTCTCTCGAGTATAGACGCTCATGTGCACGGGTAATTTTTTTTGTTTTCTGTTTTGAAAAATGGTGTTTTAAAAAAAATTGGTTTTAATGTGTGTCTTTACATTTAAATTTTATTGAGTTGGCAACCCTGGGGGTATTGGGGAAAAAATTATCTTTACCCCCCCCCCCCCTCTCTCGAGTATAGACGCTCATGTGCACGGGTAATTTTTTTTGTTTTCTGTTTTGAAAAATGGTGTTTTTTAATACTGCAACAAATGCGCCTTATTTTGGTGTGCATGTATTTGTTGACCAGATATGTAAGTATCATCTTGTGCATTGCGTCCTCATTGTCAAGCCAGGTAGGTTTCACGGAATTCAAAACTAAAAAACATGGGTTTATTTTTAAATCCTTTATCTTAACTTCGCTTTTGTTCGTGAGTTTGTGGAAAAAAAAGTCCGAAGGCTAAATGACCCACTTCCCGTCATCCTACCGTGCTGAAACTTGGCACATAGACCAGTGCTGAAACTTGGCACATAGACCAGTACTGAAACTTGGCACATAGACCAGTGCTGAAACTTGGCACATAGACCAGTGCTGAAACTTGGCACATAGACCAGTGCTGAAACTTGGCACATAGACCAGTGCTGAAACTTGACACATAGACCAGTGCTGAAACTTGACACAAAGACCAGTGCTGAAACTTGACACATAGACCAGTGCTGAAACTTGACACATAGACCAGTGCTGAAACTTGACACAAAGACCAGTGCTGAAACTTGACACAAAGACCAGTGCTGAAACTTGGCACATAGACCAGTGCTGAAACTTGGCACATAGACCACACGTTCTATCAAAGTTTACCAATTTACACGTACGCTTTTGTTTTGAATAAATGAGAACTCGCGTACAATGACATAAATGCAAACATAAATGAACATAAATGATTTATACGACTGACTTAATTTTTAAGGGATGTTCTCATCAAGCCTAGGCCGGTTTTAATTAGCTTAATTTTTAAGTTGAACAAATACGTACATCGACATATTTCCTCGTTCAGCCACACTCTGTTGTCCCCCTTGAAGACACAATCTGTTTTCCCCTAAAGACACAATTTGTTGTTCCCCTCAAAGACACAATATGTTCTCCTCCCTTAAAGACACACTCTGTTTCCCTCCTTAAAGACACAGTCTGTTGTCCCCTCTTATAGACACACTCTGTTGTACCCCCTTAAGACACACTCTGTTGTCCCCCTTGAAGACACACTCTGTCTCCCCCTAAAGAAACAATTTATTGTCCCCCTTAAAAACACAGTTTGTTTTCCCCTTAAAGACACATTATGTTGTCCCCCTTAAAGACACAATCTCTTTCCCCCCTTAAAGACACACTCTGTTGTCCACCTTGAAGACACACTCTGTTATCCCCCTTAAAGACACACTTTTTTGTCCCCTTTAGAGACACACTCTGTTGCCCCTTGAAAGACACACTCTGTTGTCCCCCCATAAGACACACTCTGTTGCCCCTTTTAAGACAAAGTCTGTTGTCCCCCTTGAAGACACACTATGTTGTCCCCCTTCCAAGACACACTCCGCACCGTCATTAAGACCACGCCCTAGATACCGCCGCCTATGGAAGCTTCTCAAACCAAAACCTTTACTTTCGATGGGTTCCAACGGTTTCAGTTAGGAATACGAAATGGATTTTTTAAATAGTAATGACGTTACTAACTTTTTAAAACGACGTGAATATTTGAGGATTGCGAAATTGAAAATAATACTATTTAGAAGTAGGTTCATATAGAAGAAGTTTCATATAGAAGTAGGTTCATATAGAAGTAGGTTCATATAGAAGTAGGTTCATATAGAAGTAGGTTCATATAGAAGTAGGTTCATATAGAAGTAGGTTCATATAGAACTAGGTTCATATAGAAGTAGGTTCATATAGAACTAGGTTCATATAGAAGTAGGTTCATATAGAAGTAGGTTCATATAGAAGTAGGTTCATATAGAAGTATGTTCATATAGAAGTAGGTTCATATAGAAGTAGGTTCATATAGAAGTAGGTTCATTATAGAAGTAGGTTCATATAGAAGTAGGTTCATATAGAAGTAGGTTCATATAGAAGTAGGTTCATATAGAAGTAGGTTCATATAGAAGTAGGTTCATATAGAAGTAGGTTCATGCAGAATTAGCTTCATGTAGAAATAGGTTCATATACACATAGGTTCATATAGAAGTAGTTTTATATAAAAGTGGGTTCATATAGAAGTAGTTTCATATAGAAGTATGTTCATATAGAAGTAGGTTCATATAGAAGTAGGTTCATACAGAAATAGGTTCACATAAAAGTAGGCACAATATAGAAGTATGCTCCATATGGAAGTATGTTCATAAAGAAGTAGGTTCAATATAGAAGTATGATCCATATAGAAGTAGGTTCATAAAGAAGTAGGTTTAATACAGAAGTAGGCTCCATATAGAAGTAGGTTCATAAAGAAGTAGGTTCATTATAGAAGTAGGCTCCATATAGAAGTATGTTCATAAAGAAGTAGGTTCATAAAGAAGAAGGTTTAATATAGAAGTAGGCTCCATATAGAAGTTGGTTCATTTAGAAATATTTTCACATAGATGTAGGTTCAATATAGAAGTAGGCTTCATACAGAAGTAGGTTTCATATAGAATTAGGTTCATATAGAAGAAGGTTCATATAGAAGTAGGTTCATATAGAAGTAGGTTCATATAGAAGAAGGTTCTTAAAAAAAATAGCTTCATTAAGAAGTAGGTTCAATATAGAAATAGGTTCATAAAGAAGTAGGTTCATACAAAGTAGGTTCAGATAAAGTAGGTTCCGTATATTTTGCTTTAATTTTTCTCACCAACGGTAGCTCAAAACTAAAAATCCTCAGAGGCGTAGCTAGGGTAGGTGCTTCCCGGCTGATCAGGGTGTAAAACAATACCAGCATCGATGAATAATTTTAGTGGCCACAATGGAAGTTATCTCTCTTTGCCGACTTGTCGGTACTTTTGTTTAAATTAATTACTACCTATTCGATTGATTTTTTTAAATATTAATTATCCCATATTCGATTTCCCCTCCCACCTCCCCCCCCCCCCAAAAAAAAAGTCTTGGCATAGGTCACGTGATCTCCGCCTTCTCGGCCGTCGCCTTCGACATCGGCGTCAACGACGACGACATTGTGGACAGGCTCAACTACTGGGTCATGTACGGCACGCTCCTGTTCTTCGGGATCAGCGCGGCGGCCAAGCAGCACGTGGGGGAGCCCATCTTCTGCTGGCTCCCCAGGGAGTACAACGAGAAGCAGCACAGGCGGTACGTGAACCACTACTGCTGGGTGCACAAGATGTACTACGTACCGGACGACACGCCCATACCTGTGCTGGAACGAGACAGGTGAGTGGCCCGGGGTGGGGGGGTGGGTTTAATAACACGGGCGGGGGTGAAGATGAACATTCCAGAACACATAGAAAAATAAATAGAAAAGGAGGGGGGGGGGGGGGTGAAAGTTTTTTTGATAAAAGATTGATATTTATAAAAATCCGAGATGCAATTTTGACTCAAAAACTCTAAGACGGAGCCTTATAAAAAAAAAAACGATCCGTGTTGATAGAAAGACATAGTAGTCGCCTGTCACTGGAGAGAGGAGAAATAGGTCTGCTTAAGACAATTCGAAGTTTTAGGTGCTTGGAGTCTAGTCGAGTCATCAGGTTTCGACTCTATACTCTACAAGAAGGGCAAGAGGGAAATGATACATGGTTTCATTTGGAGCCGTTCGAACGGAGAAACATTTGATTTAAGATTTAGCTATCTGGAATTTGGTTCGACTTAAGACCTAGTGAACTGGAATTTGGTTTAAGCTCGAGAACAAGAGAAATAACTTTTGGAAAAGAGTTTCATTTTCATAAAGTGGAGTTAAGTCCCGTTTTAAGATGTCTTGGCACCTGAAATGTGGCAGTGAAATGAGTTCAAATTGAGAGGTGTAGTGTTTTGTGGGGTGGGGAGGGGGGAGATATCAACTCTTACGACACTTTGGAGTGTAGGCCAAATAAAAAGATTGATAGATCGTTTCATTGGAATAATGAACTAATCTCATCACATGCATGGTCGCCGCCCATGAAACTATCGCCAGGTAGCACGGTAATCAGAGGCGTGAGCCAGGAACGGAATTTCGGTTACATATCAGAATATATAGGATTTTTCTTTGATGGATGTAGTTCTCCAAGATGTATTCAAATCCTCAGGTATTTCCACGATATCGGCTTTTACCGATGGTCCACCATTTTCTTCATCTATATGGCCTTCACCTTCCGCGTGCCGAAATTCGCTTGGAGGGAGTTGAAGAACTTCTCTGGTATAAACGTTAGCAGCATTATTAGTAAGTAGGTCATGTTATAGTTGGTACGACATTGGTAAGTAGGTCATGCTATAGTTGGTACGACATTGGTAAGTAGGTCATGTTGTTTTTTGTACGACATAAGTAAGTAGGCCATGTTGTTGGTAATAGTTACCGTACATGTCCCAGTATGTTGTCTGTATGTCACAGCATGTTGTCTGTATGGCACAGTATGTTGTCTGTATGTCACAGTAGGCTGTCTGTATGTCACAGCATGCTGCTTACATGTCACAGTATGCTGTCTGTATGTCACAGCATGTTGCTTACATGTCACAGTATGCTGTCTGTATGTCACAGTATGTTGCTTGCATTTCACAGCATGTTCTCTTTATGTCACAGCATGTTGTCTATTTGTCACAGTATGTTGCTTGTATGTCCAGGTATGACTCTTGAGACCGCCAACATGGAACAGGACAAAAGAGACCAACAACTAGGTCATGTGGCAGTCTTTCTGGACAGATGGATCACTACATATTTCAACAGCCCCAAAAGGTATGAACCTTATCGTCTTGTCTCTTTAGCACATCCTTTAAATAGGCAGATCTTGGATGTGTCCAAAATTGTTCATCAACTATATACCCACCGCGCCTTTTCACCATCATGCGAATATACATTTCTAAAAAATAATCTTGTATTAATGTATAAGTTTAACTAAAACCCTCGCTCACCAGACCCAATGGATCTGCTAGACATACAAGGGAATTAATCAGGATAGTGCTGAACGAGCATGAAGTACATTGAATAAAACATGGGACATTATCCTGGAATAATTAATGAAACTAATCAACATAGGTTTACAAAAAAAAAAACCAAAAAAAAAAAACAACAACAAAACAACTAAAATATGTTTGAAAAAATCAAATAATTATTACTAGAATATACATACAAGGGAATTAATCAGGATAGTGCTGAAAGAGCATAAAGTACATTGAATAAAAAATGGGACATTATCCTGGAATAATTAATGAAACTAATCAACAAAGGTTTAAAAAAAAAAAAACCAAAAAAAAAAAACAACAACAAAACAACTAAAATATGTTTGAAAAAATCAAATAATTATTACTAGAATATTCCAAAAATATTTTCTTTTAATATCATATATGAATATTTAAAGTCTAAAGTAAGATTTCATTTTCTGATTTATCATTTCCTTTTTTTGTTTTGTATTTCAGAAACGGAAGGTTCTCAAACTTTCGCAGAGTTCTCGAAAGCATCTTCGTCTGCTACGGCAAGCGTTCCGGTCGCTACCTGGTCATCATCTACCTCTTCATCAAGTTCCTCTACCTCCTCAACATCGTCGTGCAGTTCTTCTGCATCTCTGCCTTCCTCAACCTGAACTACTGGACGTTCGGCTACGACATCCTCAGAACGTTCACGGAAACGGGCGAGTGGGTGGACGAGGTCAACTTCCCGAGGATGTCACTGTGCGACTTCAAGATCCACCACCTCGCCAACGTCAACACGTTCACGGTCCAGTGTGTGCTGTCCGTGAACATCTTCTTGGAGAAGATGTTCCTCGTGCTGTGGTTCTGCCTGGTGTTCATGCTGGCCGCCAACACGTTCAGCCTCGTCAAGTGGAGCTTCCAGCTGCTGAGCGAGAGGCGGATCACCGAGTTCATGACCAAGTACACGGGGATGATATTCCCGGACACGTCCGAGAACAACGTCTCGGAGAAGGATCTCAAGCACCTGGTCAGGAGGTACCTCAAGGCGGACGGGGTGTTCGTGGTCAAGATGGTCGAGTCCAACACCACAGACATGCTGACCTTGGATCTGATACGTCAGATCTGGTTGTACTACTCCAAGAATCGAACCGTCGAGCCGGGCGTGGCAGACCGGAACTCGCTTAACGAGAATGGTGGCGTCGGGTACAAGTTTGAGACTGATATTTAACGCTGTTGGAAAGACAATGCTTTTCAGGGACTCTCAAAGTTTACATAATAAAATATCATTTTTTAACCCAGCCTATAAATATGATGAGTTTTAAATAAATGGACCCTAATAAAGGGTCAATGTACTTTAAGAAAGTGCCTCATGTTATGTCAGTTAATCCAGAATCATTGAAGTGGCGTTGGACAAGGATTACTGAAAATATGACTCATGGGTCTCACATAATTTCGCTGAAGCCCTTAAAGAATCACCTCTGAGACTTGCCGAGTATTGACCACTTCCTGCTGCGCATGACTCACAGCGTGCAAAAGAGCCTTCCTAAGCAAAGCAGGACGAATGGAAATACGACAGGAAACGGAGCACAGTTAACAACTCAAGTGGTCGCCATTGTTGTAGCCGGAAGTAGAATTATTCTAAACCAAGATTTTAGGAAGTGAAAGAAGATATAATATAGTGTTACTGTGAAAATTAAGGTCTATAATCATAATGGACCAACATATTTTAGAGATACATAAACTAGAAGAAATAAGGAAAACAAATTTACAGGGAAATTGAGAATGATTAGAACGAGAGTATTTGATGAATTCCATTTGATAACACTGTGCCGAAAAGCTGAGTCAATTGATTGAAATTTGCTTGTAAACATTGTGTTGAACATTGTGTTGAAGATTGGGTTGAACATTGTGTTGAACATTGGGTTGAATATTGGGTTTGATATTGGGTTGAATATTGGGTTGAATATTGTGTTGAACCTTGATGTATGCAAAGATAAAATCATCCTGTATTTTACTTTAAATTTTGCACAACAAACTTGTAAAATGTGAGACTTTGATTAAACTACCCCTAAAAATGCAAGATTTTTCATATAAATAATTTACATGTATTTTTGTATTCATTTACGTTATTGTACCTGATTTGTCATTTATGTTATTGTACGTGATTTGGCATTTGTGTTATTGTACCTGATTTGGCATTTGTGTTATTGTACATGATTTGTCATTTGTGTTATTGTACGTGATTTGGCATTTCTGTTATTGTACGTGATTTGTCATTTGTGTTATTGTACGTGATTTGTCATTTGTGTCACTGTAGCAACAGAATTGTTTTGTACGGGAATGATTTGGAACAAGCTTAGAGCATGTACAGCCTAATAGACTAGATATATATTTAAACCCAAATACGTCCCAAATACAAAGCACATAGCAACAGCTACACAATTAATCTCCACACCAAAACACGCACCCATTGAATAAATCACACATTTCATTCATCGTCCCTTTTCTTTTGTCTCGTTCTTTCATTTCAAGCTTCAACATACACTGTCCCACTATTTCCTTTCATTTCAAGCTTCAACATACACTGTCCCACTATTTCCTTTCATTTCAAGCTTCAACATACACTGTCCCACTATTTCCTTTCATTTCAAGCTTCAACATACACTGTCCCACTATTTCCTTTCATTTCAAGCTTCAACATACACTGTCCCACTATTTCCTTTCATTTCAAGCTTCAACATACACTGTCCCACTATTTCCTTTCATTTCAAGCTTCAACATACACTGTCCCACTATTTCCTTTCAATTCAAGCTTCAACATACACTGTCCAACTATTTCCATTATTTCAAGCTTCAACATACACTGTCCCACTATTTCCTTTCATTTCAAGCTTCAACATACACTGTCCCACTATTTCCTTTCATTTCAAGCTTCAACATACACTGTCCCACTATTTCCTTATTCATGGTTGCCACCATTTGGCCGCCTCCAGATTTCTGTGCAAAAATAAAAAAAATAAAAATGTAAATCAGAGGGATCCTACATTGTGTTTCTGCACACATTTGTGTAATATTGCCTCACACATTTGTGTAATATTGCCTCACACATTTGTGTAATATTGCCTCACACATTTGTGTAATATTGCCTCACACATTTGTGTACTATTGCCTCACACATTTGTGTAATATTGCCTCACACATTTTTGTAATATTGCCTCACCCTGACCCCAGCAACACAGATCTAATCGCTTTCAATTTGGACAATATTATGAATTAATAAAATAAATCACTTGGATCAATTAATGACTGTAAGTATTTCAATGCAAAAATATGCAATAATTGTTGGCATTTTAATCACATTTTGCGATGACCAAATCTCCATGATCATTACGGTCACTAAAGGAGTTCATTGCTTGCTGAGGTCTACACTAGAGAAAAACTTGAGATGTCTGGTGTTTGAATTGTCCTAATCGTTCAATGCAGTCTCGCTTAAGATATGTATTTATTTATGTGCTGAAAATGAATATGTACAATGTCATTTTAAAGAAAATTTCATTTATTCGTATGAATGAAGAATCTTATCGCATCTTATCTTATCTTATTTGCTAATAAGTGCAACTCTTGTTTGGATCATGCTACTGAAAATTAAATGGTCCATCAAATGTGAATTTCTATTGCGACTCTTGAGTGCTAATCCCACCAAAGTATTCCAATCCCACCACCAAAGTATTCCACATCACAAGTGTCGTGCTAAGCCCACCAAAGTATTCCACATCACAAGTGTCGTGCTAAGCCCACCAAAGTATTCCACATCACAAGTGTCGGCCCATGAAATATCACGGCCCCTCTGCAGCCGCAGCGGGAAGGGGTTGCGGGGCCCGAGCTACGGCCCTGTGAGTCCTTAAATGTACGTCATCGATTGGATATTAACGGACTATTCTTAGACCTGAAGGTGCGAGGGTTTGCTTTCGCGTACTTATCTTGGACCCGGTTTGACCAGTAAGGATAGGTCCAATGTGTTAACAGTCACCAAGGTCACCAAGGTCGCTCTGTGTTGTCCATAGTCGCTATCTCTTATCTTAAAATAGTAGCGGGAAAAAAAGAAGACCCCCCCCCCCTTCCCGAAAACTCCAAAGCTTATAACTTTGGTCGTGTTGTTGGTTAGGGTATGTTGTTGGTTGAAGGTCACTGCAGTGGTAGCTGGTGAACTGGTCGTTGGTGGTGAACTGGTCGTTGGTGGTAACTGTTGAGTGTTTCCTGAAAATGGTGAGTTGAGTTGTCTTTTTCCTTTAATTATGACCATATTTACATACAAAATATTTTTTTTTATACAATAGAAAATTTCGATGATAGCAGACAGTGTAGACAGGGTCGGGTTGGGGGGGGGGGGAGGGGGGCGAATTACATGGAACTGACAGGGGGCGTTGAGATCAATTTGAAGCAGTGGCTTAGAAAGGGAGGCGGAGTGGGAGGGGGGGCGATACTTTTTTCTATACTAATATTTTTTTTTAAACAAAAGAAAATTTCGATGATAGCAGAAAGGGGAGGCAGGGTCGGGGTGGGGGGGGGGGAGGGTGGCGAATTACATGGAACTGACAGGGGGCGTTGAGATCAATTTGAAGCAGTGGCTTAGAAAGGGAGGCGGAGTGGGAGTGGGGGCGATACTTTTTTCTATACGCGGAGGAGCGACATTTTCGGACAACTGCAAAGTTTGTTTTTTTTCCTGGAAGAAGAGAGTGTGCAAAGTCTTGGTCCACCCGGGCCAACACTAACCCTAGCCATCGCCGATACTAACCATAGCCAGGACCAACACTAACCCTAGCCATGTCCAACACTAACCCTAGCCATCGCCGATACTAACCATAGCCAAGACCAACACTAACCCCAGCCATGACCAACACTAACCCTAGCCATGTCCAACACTAACCCTAGCCATGTCTAACACTAACTCTAGCAGGGCCGACACTAACCCTAGCAGGGCCGACACTTACTCTAGCAGTGCCGACACTAACCATTGCAGGGCTGACACTAACCCAGCAGGGTCGACACTAATTCTAGCAGGGCTGACACTAACCATTGCAGGGCCGACACTAACTCTAGCTGGGCTGACACTAACTCTAGCAGGGCCAACACTAACCATTGCAGGGCTGACACTAACCATTGCAGGGCTGACACTAACCCAGCAGGGCCGACACTAACTCTAGCAGGGCCGACATTAACCCTAGCTGGGCTGACACTAACCATAGCAGGGCCGACACTAACCATTGCAGGGCTGACACTAACCATTGCAGGGCCGACACTAACCCAGCAGGGCTGACACTAACCCTNCTAACCATTGCAGGGCTGACACTAACCCAGCAGGGCTGACACTAACCCTAGCAGGGCTGACACTAACCATTGCAGGGCCGACACTAATTCTAGCAGGGCCGACACTAACCGTAGCCAGGGCCGACACTAACTCTAGCAGGGCTGACACTAACCCAGCAGGGCTGACACCAACCCTAGCAGGGCCGACACTAACTCTAGCAGGGCTGACACTAACCCTAGCCAGGGATGACACTAACCGTAGCCAGGGCCGACACTAACCCTAGCCAGGGCCGACACTAACCGTAGCCAGGGCCGACACTAACCGTAGCCAGGGCCGACACTAACCGTAGCCAGGTCCGGCACTAGCACTAGCCAGGTCCAACACTAACCGTAGCCAGGGCCGACACTAACCGTAGCCAGGGCCGCGCCGAGGCCGGGACAGACAAGTTAAGCTCTCGCTGTGACATGGGGTCCGCAAAGGTCGGATTTTAAATTTTGTTTTCAACACTTGAGGCCGTCCAAAAACTGGATTTTTGGGGGGGGGCACAAAAATCCTATATAAAAGCCCCGACCCTAAACACGCCCCTGAATGGGCGGTCCGTAGAGAATTCGAGAATCATCTTAGCCTAAGACAATACGATAGCTCCACTAAATTGGGTAGACGTTTTCATTCAGGCCTTAGCGATGGTACCCACTTAAAACCTGGAACCGCTGAGACTTATAATTAATTTCTAACTAGAAACTAGAGAACCACTGGCCCAAGATACACACGTATCCGCCATATCAAATTAAACTACTATAAACTTAACCGGTCACGATGCTTACATAAAACTTTGAGAACCCCTGCTCTAAGTCAAACGGTCTCAAACAGAATGCTTTTATAGTTGGATAAAGATACAAGACATGTTAGTAATAGACAAGCAGATAGAAGACATGTTGGTTATAGATACGGAGATATAAGACATGTTGGTAATAGATAAGGAGATACAAGACATGTTAGTAATAGACAAGCAGATATAAGACATATTGGTAATAGATAAGGAGATACAAGACATGTTAGTAATAGACAAGCAGATACTAGACATGTTAAACCCTACATCTAAAATACGTCGTATGATGTAGGGGGGTGGGCAAGGGTGGTCCCACCAAGGCGGTACATTTCCTCTTTCTTTTGAGTGGCCATTTGAGTCAATATTCCGTGGTAAGTTTGGGGGGGGGGACATGTCCCGCCCCGGGCTGAACTAAATCTAGCTACGCCTCTGGCCCCCATTTCATTTTAAAACGATATAAGGAAGAACAAGGCGCCCACTGATGTAACTCTTAAGAAATTCTTAGTTAAGAGGACGCCTTAGGTAGGGATGTTACCATATTACCACTGTTTGAATCTACACTCTGCCTTAGGTAGGGATGTTACCATATTACCACTGTTTGAATCTACACTCTGCCTTAGGTAGGGATGTTACCATATTACCACTGTTTGAAACTACACTCTGCCTTAGGTAGGGGTGTTACCATATTACCACTGTTTCAAACTACACTCTGTCTTAGGTAGGGGTGTTACCAATTTACCACTGTTTGAATCTACACTCTGCCTTAGGTAGGGATGTTACAATATTACCACTGTTTGAAACTACACTCTGCCTTAGGTAGGGATGTTACCATATTACCACTGTTTGAATCTACACTCTGCCTTAGGTAGGGGTGTTACCATATTACCACTGTTTGAAACTACACTCTGCCTTAGGTAGGGGTGTTACCAATTTACCACTGTTTGAATCTACACTCTGCCTTAGGTAGGGATGTTACCATATTACCACTGTTTGAATCTACACTCTGCCTTAGGTAGGGGTATTACCAATTTACCACTGTTTGAATCTACACTCTGCCTTAGGTAGGGATGTTACCATATTACCACTGTTTGAATCTACACTCTGCCTTTTTGTAGGGATGTTACCATATTACCACTGTTTGAATCTACACTCTGCCTTAGGTAGGGATGTTACCATATTACCACTGTTTGAAACTACACTCTGCCTTAGGTAGGGATGTTACCTTATTACCACTGTTTGAAACTACACTCTGCCTAGGTAGGGATGTTACCATATTACCACTGTTTGAATCTACACTCTGCCTTAGGTAGGGATGTTACCATATTACCACTGTTTGAATCTACACTCTGCCTAGGTAGGGATGTTACCATATTACCACTGTTTGAATCTACACTCTGCCTAGGTAGGGATGTTACCATATTACCACTGTTTGAGTCTACACTCTGCCTAGGTAGGGATGTTACCATATTACCACTGTTTGAATCTACACTCTGCCTAGGTAGGGATGTTACCATATTACCACTGTTTGAATCTACATTCCACATGAACGACATTTCTCTTGAGAATTTTGTTTTTACATAACTCCAAAGTACTTCCTGGTCCACAGGCCGCACAGCCCCGGGTCACAGTTCTAGCGGGGCCATCCAAGGAGGACCTCATACGATTCGCCATTCTCCAGCGAAATGCTACGAACAGTTTCGTGTTCGGCATCACGGCACTGACCTTAGGGCTTGTAGGGATGCTGGCGGGGGTCGCCAGTCCGGTGTGGACAGACGTCTCCGACGGTTGCAGCAGTGGACTGTTGGGCACGACTGTGATGGTGGCAAGGTGTTGAGCAACCCTCGAGCACTCAGCGACAGCGGTAAACATAAGTGGTTAGACTTTTAGACTATCATTGGTCTGGTGGGAATCAGTGTGGTAAACATAAGTGTTTAGACTTTTAGACTATCATTGGTCTGGTTGGAATCGGTGTGGTAAACATAACTGTTTAGACTTTTAGACTATCATTGGTCTGATGGGAATCAGTGTTAGAATATCATTGGTCTGACAATGAGATTGGAAGAAACTGTTAGTCAAATACTTTGAGCAATCTCTTCAAGCCAAACCCTGACATTAACGCTTTTATCGCTACATTAAGCCAAACATTAACATGAACCCTTTTAGCGTTAATTCAAGCCTAAAATTAACATTATCCTTCTTAGCGCTAATTCAAGCCAAACCCTAACATTAACCCTTTTAACGCTAATTCAAGGCAAAAATTAACTCTATCCCTCTTAGCGTTAATTCAAGCCAAAAATTGACATTATCCCTTTTAGCGCTAATTCAAGGCAAACCCTAACATTAACCCTTTTAGCGCTAATTCAAAGCAAACCCTAACATTAACCCTTTTAGCGCTAATTCAAGGCAAACCCTAACATTATTCCTTTTAGCACTATTTCAAGCCAAACATTAACATTATCCCTTTTAGCACTATTTCAAGCCAAACATTAACATTATCCCTTTTAGCACTAATTCAAACCAAACATTAACATTATCCCTTTTAGCGCTAATTCAAACCAAACATTAACATTATCCCTTTTAGTGCTAATTCAAACCAAACATTAACATTATCCCTTTTAGCGCTTATTCAAACCAAACATTAACATTATCCCTTTTAGCGCTAATTCAAACCAAACATTAACCCTTTTAGCGCTCATTCAAGCCAAACCCTAACATTAACCCCTTTAGCGCTAATTCAAACCAAACATTAACATTAACCCTTTTAGCACTCATTCAAGCCAAACCCTAACATTAACCCCTTTAGCGCTATTTCAAGCCTAATCCTAACCATTCTAATACTAATTCAAGCCAACCTCTAAAATTAACCCTTTTGGTTCTAATTCAGGACCAACCCTATTATTTAACCTTTTAATGTTAGTTCATGCCAAACCCTAACCCTAGCTTTAACCCTAACCAAAACCCTAACCCTTACCCAAGCCGTAACCCAAAGCCTAACCCTAACCCAAATCGTCAGAGCATTTTTTTTTTCAATGAAACTTGTTTTTTTTCTTTCTATCGTTTCGTTTTGTTGCAGCCACCTTACAACCATTGATGTCACTCTATCCACTCCAGCAACATTACGACCATTGCTGTCACTCTATCCACTTCAGCCACCTCACAATCATTGATGTCACTCTAACCACTCCAGCAACATTACGACCATTGCTGTCACTCTAACCACTTCAGCCACCTCACAACCATTTCTGTCACACTATCCACTCCAGCAACATTACGACCATTGCTGTCACTCTAACCACTTCAGCCACCTCACAACCATTTCTGTCACACTATCCACTCCAGCAACATTACGACCATTGCTGTCACTCTATCCACTTCAGCCACCTCACAACCATTGATGTCACTCTATCCACTCCAGCAACATTACGACCATTGCTGTCACTCTAACCACTTCAGCCACCTCACAACCATTTCTGTCACACTATCCACTCCAGCAACATTACGACCATTGCTGTCACTCTATCCACTTCAGCCACCTCACAACCATTGATGTCACTCTATCCACTCCAGCAACATTACGACCATTGCTGTCACTCTATCCACTTCAGCCACCTCACAACCATTGCTGTCACTCTATCCACTTCAGCCACCTCACAAACATTGCTGTCACTCTATCCACTCCAGAAACATTACGACAATTGCTGTCACTCTATCCACCTCAGCAACTTTACAATCATTTCTGTCCCTCTATTCTGTCTCTCAGGGGATGAATGAAAGTTACAAAAAATATTTAGTACCCAAATTTGTACGAATTTACCAGTAAAATAATTTAATGTTTAGAGCAATAAAGGAATCTTATCTTATCTTATCTTACTTTATCCACTCCAGCCACCTTAAGATCAGTCCTGTCACTGTCCATTATTGGCATGCTACTGACCTTGGCCAGCATCGGTCTGGCCATTCAGATGAAACGGGCCACACAGGCCTCCATGATTAAAAAATTTGGTATTCTGAGTGGGATCATCTCTGTTGTGGCAGGTAGGTTGGTGTTCTGAGTGGGATGATCTCTGATGTGGCAGGTAGGTTGGTGTTCTGAGTGGGATCATCTCTGTTGGGGCAGGTAGGTTGGTGTTCTGAGTGGGATCATCTCTGTTGGGGCAGGTAGGTTGGTGTTCTGAGTGGGATCATCTCTGTTGTGGCAGGTAGGTTGATTTTTAAAATCTATTTTTTCGTTTTCTTTTTATCTAAATAGTTTTCTAACGAAAGAGGCACAGGCTAAAAAGTGGTAGAAAATATTTAGTGATGGTTGGGGGTCACAGTAGAGTCTAAATAAATGTGGGCAGTGAAGCGTGACGGTGAAGCGTGACAGTGAAGCGTGGCAGTGAACCGTGACAGTGAACACAACTGGCTTTGGTTGATTGTTCTATGGTTTCCTTTCAGCCTTTACCTCTTTGGCGGCTGACATCATCTACGCATCGGACTCCTGGGCCCCCGAGATCATCACCCCAACATCACCCAACCCCCGGACCTCACGTCAACTGCTGTCCTTGCACATCATCTACCACGTACCGTCAACACCAGGCGACCACAAGATACCCCACCTGGATTACTCCTTCGTCTTGCACCTCATGGGGTGCATAGTGCTTCTGCTGCTGGCCGCGCCCACGATCCTGTTTAGCACCATGTACGCGTCAGGCGCCGCGCAGCTCAAGGACGCGATGGCAAACAAGATGGCGACGACCCTAACGAATCACATCCGGGTGATGGCCGTGGTGAACGCGTTGAACAACCGATACACGTCGCTCCAGCAACAGCAGCAGCAGCAGCGGCAGTTACAGCAACGACAGGCGTTGTACGATGGGCAATTCGGAGGTCAAGGTTTGGGGACTTCGTCGGTGGACTTTGGTGAAGTTACGACAGAGTTCGCAGGCGGCGATGTTGAGATATAGACAGGTGGCATTAGGGAGGCGTAGGCTGGTACAGGATAGAGCAGCATCACAAGGGTAGTCGCAATGAGACGTAGAATTTAGGAGAACTCATTAATAGGACTAATCAGTTAAAGGACTTATAAGTGATAGGACTAATAGTGATATGAATAACCAGTGAGAGGACGATAGTGATAGGACTAATGATCGATAAGACAAAATGTGATAGGGCTAATAAATCAGTCATTTTCACAATTCAGTGATAGGACATGTTATTGATAGATCAGGTCACTGATAGGGCATCTAAGTGATAGGATAGGTCACTGATAGGACATTTCAGTGATAGGACAGGTCAGTGATAGGACAGGTCAGTAATAAGTCATATCACTGATGGAACAGGTGAGTAATAGGTCATGTCACTAATGGGACAGGTGAGTAATAGGTCATGTCACTGATGGGACAGGTGAGTAATAGGTCATGTCACTGATGGGATAGGTGAGTAATAGGTCATGTCACTGATGGGACAGGGCACTAATAGGACAGGTCGGTGATAGGACAGGCTAGGGATAGGAGAGGCCAGTGGTAGGACAGGTCAAAGATAGGACATTTCAGTGATAGGACAGGTCAGTAATAAGACAGGTCAACGATAGGACATCTCAGTGGTAGGAAAGATCAATGACAGAACATTTCATGGGTTATAGGAAAGGCCACTGATAGGACAAGTCACTGATAAGACAAGTCATTGATAGGACAAGGTATTGATAGGACATGTCACTGATAGGACAACTAGTTTAAAAGACAACTTAGAGAAATCAACTTATGGACAAACTTTAAAACGACTTTTTACAAAGTGTTGAGAATACGCTAAATTAAATTTGAACAAAGAGCTGAGATCGGAGATTGGTTGGATTCGTCGGCACAATGGAACTAAAACGAATTGATCTATCGAATGCCTGCTGAAGCAACGACTGTGGATTGGGACCAAGAATATAGAGGTGGAGCCAAGAAACGCCCCTACAGTCTATAGGTGGGGCCAAGAAACGCATCCTACAGGATGTTGGTGGAGCCAATAATCTCCCCTACAGCCTATAGGTGGGCCAATAATCTCCCCTACAGCCTATAGGTGGGCCAATAATCTCCCCTACAGCCTATAGGTGGAGCCAATAATCTCCCCTACAGCCTATAGGTGGGCCAATAATCTCCCCTACAGGCTATTTCTCTGATAGGTTTTCTATTCATTTATCCTGCTCCATTGTTTAACTCTACCGTATCCTTTGGGCCTTTCCTTTAGCCTGCTGTATTGTTTAACTCTACCGTATCCTTTGGGCCTTTCATCTAGCCTGCTGTATTGTTTAACTCTACCGTATCCTTTGGGCCTTTCCTTTAGCCTGCTGTATTGTTTAACTCTACCGTATCCTTTGGGCCTTTCCTTTAGCCTGCTGTATTGTTTAACTCTACCGTATCCTTTGGGCCTTTCATCTAGCCTGCTGTATTGTTTAACTCTACCGTATCCTTTGGGCCTTTCATTTAGCCTGCTGTATTGTTTAACTCTACCGTATCCTTTGGGCCTTTCATCTAGCCTGCTGTATTGTTTAACTCTACCGTATCCTTTGGGCCTTTCCTTTAGCCTGCTGTATTGTTTAACTCTACCGTATCCTTTGGGCCTTTCATCTAGCCTGCTGTATTGTTTAACTGCACGTGAGCTTGATTATCTTGGCTTTTGAATACAAGACTCTCACGACGTGTGGGGTATCGTGGGTAAGTTCCAGTGGTTCTCGTGTTATCCAATGAGTATTCAGGCTTTTTTATTTGGCCTACAGGAATTTCTCCTTTTATTTAAACCACAAAGGGCAATCCCTGTGTCTTTTTTCTCTTTCCTCCAGGTCAAGTAAATGGATAGGGTTAGGGATAGGTTAAGGGATAGGGATAGAATTAGGGATAGGGTTAGGGATCGGGTTAGGGATATGATTAGGAATAGGTTTAGGATAGGGATAGAGATGGGGGTTGGGATGGGGATATGGTTAGGATAGGGTTAGGGATAATTTTAGGGATAAGGTTGGGATAGGGTTAGGGGTTGGGTCTGGGATATGGTTAGGGATGGTGTTAAGGATAGGGTTAGGGATAGTGTTAAGGATAGGGTTAGGGATAGGGTCATGGTTAGGGTTAGTGATATTATTGGGTCAGGGTTAGGGATAGTGTTAGGGATAGGGTTAAAGATATGGTCAGTATTAGGGATATGATGAGGGTTGTGTTTAAAAATGTATGTTTCAGAAACCATTTGAAACAATGAGTCATCACTTTCAATGCATCTTTTTTTTAAACACCTGATCACAGGCGCCGCAACAAAACAGATCTCTTGCCCCTGTCTGTATGGCAATTACTCATCCCATGGGCGTAGCTAGGGTTAGTGCCACCCGGGGGCTGCCCAAGATTTTCGCCATTCCCTTGTCATGGCAACCTTCCCCAGTCCTCTTCGCAGTTGGCCAAATACTTCCCTCGATATAAGGGAAAAAGTGCCGCCTCCAGGCCGGAAGCCCCCTTCACCACTCGCCTTCTTCCTACGCCACTGATTAATCCCCAAGTTAAAGACTGTTCATATCAATTAAAATGCAATATTAACAACACCAAATTATAACATAAACTATTTTTAGTGGATGACCCTGTGTCACCACTTTGAGCACCATCGCCACAAAGAATATGTGTGTGTCCGCAAGGAAATAATTCATGTTAATGTTTGTTAAGAAATAATGTTGATTAGAATTTTTCGTTTGTTTAGGGCAACTTTAAAAGGTGCTCAACGTACAGAGGACTATTTCTTGATAACTTCAATTGATTGCACGTCAAATATTACCATACTGTGTTAGCATTATTTCATCTAGATATCTGCATAGACGGGTCTGCGCTAGTTACTGTTGTAAGGGGTCCATTGTAATAACGTGAGCACACGCACTACGCCGCTTCAAAGCGGACAAGGTGTATTTGGGAAGCAGGTTGAGAACCACTCCCCGGATTACGTTATCTCTTTGAGTTATTTTTTTTTTTTTTAAGGTGACCCGAAGCTTATCTCATACACGTTGATTAGGGTTTGAGGATATCTCTCCCAACTCTCTGTGTTGTGTTTGGGCCACACGTCAACACACATTCACCTGGGTCTTTGTGTTTATTTATAGCTCTTAGTAAGTAGGAATTTTTGTATTGCTTATTTTGAATTTGTCAAAGTAGATCTTGAAATGTTTTGATATTTTTTTTAATAATTTTATTATCCATTAAAAGTCATGGAGATTTTTTAAAAATATTTATTTTCTCAGTTCGATCACACATATTATCCTCATATTTCATGTCTATTCTCTCAGTTCGATCACACATATTATCCTCATATTTCATGTCTATTCTCTCAGTTCGATCACACATATTATCCTCATATTTCATGTCTATTCTCTCAGTTCGATCACAAATATTATCCTCATATTTCATGTCTATTCTCTCAGTTCGATCACACATATTATCCTCATATTTCATGTCTATTCTCTCAGTTCGATCACACATATTATCCTCATATTTCATGTCTATTCTCTCAGTTCGATCACACATATTATCCTCATATTTCATGTCTATTCTCTCAGTTCGATCACAAATATTATCCTCATATTTCATGTCTATTCTCTCAGTTCGATCACACATATTATCCTCATATTTCATGTCTATTCTCTCAGTTCGATCACACATATTATCCTCATATTTCATGTCTATTCTCTCAGTTCGATCACAAATATTATCCTCATATTTCATGTCTATTCTCTCAGTTCGATCACACATATTATCCTCATATTTCATGTCTATTCTCTCAGTTCGATCACACATATTATCCTCATATTTCATGTCTATTCTCTCAGTTCGATCACAAATATTATCCTCATATTTCATGTCTATTCTCTCAGTTCGATCACACATATTATCCTCATATTTCATGTCTATTCTCTCAGTTCGATCACACATATTATCCTCATATTTCATGTCTATTCTCTCAGTTCCTAGTGTGTATAATAGGAGTATAAAGTAGTCTATTCTCTCAGTTCGATCACACATATTATCCTCATATTTCATGTCTATTCTCTCAGTTCGATCACACATATTATCCTCATATTTCATGTCTATTCTCTCAGTTCGATCACACATATTATCCTCATATTTCATGTCTATTCTCTCAGTTCGATCACAAATATTATCCTCATATTTCATGTCTATTCTCTCAGTTCGATCACACATATTATCCTCATATTTCATGTCTATTCTCTCAGTTCGATCACACATATTATCCTCATATTTCATGTCTATTCTCTCAGTTCGATCACACATATTATCCTCATATTTCATGTCTATTCTTTCAGTTTGATCACACATATTATCCTCATATTTCATGTCTATTCTCTCAGTTCGATCACACATATTATCCTCATATTTTATGTCTATTCTCTCAGTTCAATCACACATATTTCACCAATCTCTTATTATCCCCATAATACCTTCACCATGCTTTCACACACTTCACTACACTTCACCACACTTCACCACATTTCACCAGCCTTCATAACTAATGTGATATAAACAAGTCGACAAATTCAACAATGTCATTTTTTAAAAAAAAATTGTCCTTTGCTAAACATTTGTAACAACTGCCTTATGATCTGTTGTCACAGTCAAATTCATCAGCTTTTAAATTGATCAGTCTAAATAAATACACAGGTGTGGTCACGTGACGTCACGGTGCTGGTGTTGTGTTAATGACGTCGTCACGTTCCGCCTTCAAACACTACTGTTTGCACTCTGTCATAACATGAAAAACACCGCCACCCCCCTTGCCCCACTGACAACACCGCCACCCCCCTTGCCACACTGACAACCCTGCTACCCCCATTGCCACACTGACAACCCTGCCACACTCCTTGCCCCACTGACAACCCTGCCACACCCCTTGCCCCACTGACAACCCTGCCACCCCCTTGCCACACTGACAACCCTGCCACACCCCTTGCCACACTGACAACCCTGCCACACCCTTGCCCCACTGACAACCCTGCCACACCCCTTGCCCCACTGACAACCCTGCCACACCCCTTGCCCCACTGACAACCCTGCCACACCCCTTGCCCCACTGACAACCCTGCCACACCCCTTGCCCCACTGACAACCCTGCCACACCCCTTGCCCCACTGACAACCCTGCCACACCCCTTGCCCCACTGACAACCCTGCCACACCCCTTGCCCCACTGACAACCCTGCCACACCCCTTGCCCCACTGACAACCCTGCCACACCCCTTGCCCCACTGACAACCCTGCCACACCCCTTGCCCCACTGACAACCCTGCCACACCCCTTGCCCCACTGACAACCCTGCCACACCCCTTGCCCCACTGACAACCCTGCCACACCCCTTGCCCCACTGACAACCCTGCCACACCCCTTGCCCCACTGACAACCCTGCCACACCCCTTGCCCCACTGACAACCCTGCCACACCCCTTGCCCCACTGACAACCCTGCCACACCCCTTGCCCCACTGACAACCCTGCCACACCCCTTGCCCCACTGACAACCCTGCCACACCCCTTGCCCCACTGACAACCCTGCCACACCCCTTGCCCCACTGACAACCCTGCCACACCCCTTGCCCCACTGACAACCCTGCCACACCCCTTGCCCCACTGACAACCCTGCCACACCCCTTGCCCCACTGACAACCCTGCCACACCCCTTGCCCCACTGACACCCCTGCCACGCCCCTTGCCCCACTGACAACCCTGCCACGCCCCTTGCCCCACTGACAACCCTGCCACACCCCTTGCCCCACTGACAACCCTGCCACACCCCTTGCCCCACTGACAATATTTTTTTAATGAAAATCTTACGCCCAAAACGCTTTCGTGAAACATTTTAAAAAAGGAAATGATTTATTGAGAGCAGTTGTCTGGAATTTTTATGTTATCTCCTCTTTGAAAAAAAAAGAAGGACTTTTGGTGTTTGGGATTGTGAAGGACTTTTGGTGTTTGGGATTGTAGGTCGGGGCTGAACACTTCAAATGATGTGTGTTCTTCAGCAACGAGACGCTGTGCCAAGTTTCGTCTTGATAGGTTGACGAGAAGTGGGTCAAATATCCGTTAGAAGAGTTTTGCCTGCCAGCCGGACCTTATCAAAAGCAAAGTTGACAAAAAGGATTTCAACAGAGTTTTATCGGCTGACAATCCTATCAATGACCAGAGTCATTAAGAATGCCTTGCTTGAATAAGAGCAACTACGATTAAGAACTGAATAGACAGCCAGCGGTTCTCAAATTTTTTTTTAATACGTGTAGTTACTTACTTTGAAATTTAAAACAAAAAAAAAATGAAAAAAATATTTT